TCCCACTGATAGATCTGTGCACAAGGCAGTAAGGGGAAGGGGGGACAGAAAGACACTTCTGCATCCTAGAGCAAGGCCAATAAATAAAACCTTCGGAAAGATCCAGGATCTTCAATAATGAGTAGGAATTCACAAAGCAGAGAAGAAATGGGAGGCAGGAGGCGGAGAGGGTAGAGAACCTGCTACCCAGAGGAAAATGGGACGTATCACACCTATAATAAAAATAAACTTAGCCAACTAAGCACAATGAGGAGGCACACCATTTGGCTTAATACATCTTGCACCTTTACTCTTTGAGTTTATTGTGACTTGACCTTCTGCTCTCCCACACATAAGCTTTCCCTCTCTATTATACACAAAGCAAATACAGAGTCCCACGGTAGTTCCAGGGGTAAGGGAACACTGTCATTAGCGGAACTCGCCAGTATCCACATGCTAAGGACAAGGAAGGCATGCTCGCCATCCTCATGGAAGAGGTCTAACCTGTTCTTAATGGCGATTCCCACAATAACACAAGCTGTCTTGCGCCTGACCAATCCCGAGAACACTCAGTCTCAAGTGTTCTCAAGCCCAGCTGATGACTCACAGGGGCTTGTCAATCACTTGCTGCAATTACTAAGTATCATTTGTCATGTGTGCATGCACCTCCTTAGAATTCCATCATGCAAAGTGCATTTGTCTCGCTAGGATGTCTTTGCTTTAATTATAGTTACACACGATAACTCCTACCCTTGCACCGATTTCCCAGGAACTTGCAGGCCACCATTATTTGCTGTCTCCTCCAGCTGGGCATTTCAGTCCCTGCACCCGGATCCAGGAGTGCCTCCAGGGCATACAACCTGTGCAGTTGGCCAGCCCCACGCACAGAAGGACCCCGTACTTGGCTTAATTCTTATGCTATTGCTGAACTGAAATGCTTAAAAGCTTTTTAACAAGGCGTTCCACACTTTCATTCTGCACTGAGCTCCACAAATTATGTAGCTGGTCCTATCTAGGGGACTAACTGCTTGAAAGTGAGTTTCTGTCAAGCCCTTGCCTAGACACCCAAGATGGGAGCCATTTTGATCATAGCTATCATTTTCACCCTCATTTTCATGGCAGGGTGACTATCACAAACCTGCAAGCTCAGGCAGCCCCAAAACACCTTTTGACATCTGATTACAAATAACCAGTTCAACCAAAAGTGAAGCTTTGGCCTTGGCCATACTTGATCATTCTTTATCATCCTGCCAAGTCTGCGGATAGGCTCCTACTCCTTCAAGGCTCCTCGAAGTTTACAAACAATACCACCTCCAAACACTGGTTCATAAAGTTTCCCATTCTATAAACTTAATGTGTTATTCAGGATTTAACAGTTTCCTTAGCATAATTTGATTAAGGGTATGCATAATTGCATCAGTTGTAATAAAAGTCAAGCCCTGTAATTTCAATTATTAAACACTTGTACGAGAGCCCGTACCCAAACAGCTCAGCAGCTGTGAACTTGAACTGCAAAAGTATCAGTTGGGATGCCCAGAAAAGTGGGAAAGGATATGAACAAATTATGTTCTTCCTGTGACAGATCCGAAAGGGCCCCCCTCAAGGAGAGTGACAATGGGGTCTGTAAACTGCGCATTTACCTCAAGCCATCCCTTCACGCAGCTCAGGCCATTCCTCACATTGCGATTGTCATTTACTACCTGTCCACACTGGATCCTGACACAGAACTGTCATAGGTTGTGATATAGAATCATTGGCCACTCTCTCCCAAGGCCTGAAATCAAAAGCATCACTCCCCACATACCTCTATGCAGGCATTAAAACATCCTCCTCCCCTCCCCCCCAACCTGAAGACAATGCAGGAACTCAACTGCCTGTGTGGGTGCCTGGGGGGGGGGTCATGTGGAGGGAGGGAAGACAGTTGGGGGAGGGTGGTAAAGTGACACCTCGGCCTTATTCACAACTACAGATAAGACATGCCTTTTATTTCCCTCTTGTTCTTTCTGAAGTCATCTCTAGAGACGGGGTTTCAAACATGATCTTTATTTCATTGCTGAGACCCAGGGAATATTAATTAACAGCCTCACTCAGATTCACATTAATTTCAAACCGACAGCGTAATCCAGCCGCAAATACACCGTCTACAACAAGAAATCCTGGACAGGACTGGCCACAGCCAGGCAGGGATGCATGGGAACAGGCAAGCATTGTCTCATTCAGCATCCACAAGAGGCCAAACTTCCTGAAAGTAACTATTCCTCTGCCTGGTTAAACTGCACATTCAAAGCCCTCAAAATAATAAACAAATATAACCTCAGAGCCCTCCCTTAGGTACCAAGGCAGCATTTGCTCTGCAGGGATGTTTTGGTCCCTGCCTTTATCTTGTTAATGCAATTGGGAAAACAAACAATAAACGTCAAATCCTTCATTTGGAAATTTTAACTTCTCCACCTTCAGAAATTCTGAATTTTCGTTTCTAATTCCTCCGTGGGAAATATGAGCCTATACCCGGTCCCCCTGGAAATCTTGAAGATGTCCCTGTTGCCCACTCCCCACATCTAAATAGAGCCCAAGGCCCCCTTCCTCCAGCAAACTTTGGTGAACAGCCTGGCAATTTTTCTAAACAGGGAACACATTCTTCCACTCTTCTTCCCTTCTGAGCGCTTTGAACTTTTGATAGTTCGATATTTCATTCACTTACTTACCAAGTGTTTATCAAGTACTCACTATGCGGTGGACACTGAAGGGTCCAGGATTTGCCCCAGTCCCTGCCTGCAAGGTGCCCACGAGTCCGCCTGAATGAGGCCTTTGAGCGCCTCTGAGCTCCCTGCAATTCAAGCCCCCAGCCGTGCCACTGCCTTGTTCCAAACTCATATTTGTTGACTAAATGCACCAGGTAGACTTCGTTTTATAAATAGAGCTTTCTAATTAACAAAGGCATTCCAAAGTCAAAGGGGTCAGTCAGGCGTGCTATCAGCTGAGCAGAATTTGAAAATAAAAATCACTCTGATAACCTGCTCTGAAGAATATTTCCTCCAGGCTGATGGACATATTGCCAAGTTGGGAAACGTGAAAGGATCGCCTTCACATCTGCTGCCGCAGAAATGGTCACGGGCGCGGTTGCAATTTGCTGTGGCCCAGGTCTGCTCGCACCAGAGGCTGACAGAAGCTTATTAACGCCAAAAAATGCTTCGCTCCCTCTCAAACCCGTGGAAGCTGAATGTCACTGATACGACTATCTCGGCCGTTAGTGGGGGCTACACCTGTCTTGCCTTCCTAGAAGGCAGCTAGGTACAAAGCTCCAGGATTCACAATTCGCCTTTTCCAATTACAGCGTGGCAGAGTGGAGAGAAAGCATCTGCCACAAACAAGGGTATTGGGCAGAAACCCCGTTCGTTCAAACACCGCAAGGGGACAAATGTTGGCGTTTATGCTTAAAATTTCCTCTGAGCAGAGGCCACGAATGCTCTGCCGGCTGCAGAGGCTCCACGCAACACCCGGGATTTTTTTAAAAACAAGATCCAAACACATCGCAATTCTACTTTAACACAAAGTCCTTAGATATACTAAGAGAAGAATGAATTCCACTGTTTTAAAAAACGCTTCGCTCAAAAACGAAGCATGAATTTTACTGTGATTAAGTGAGAAGAGCTGATTCTAACGCCACATGAAATTTGTTTTTAAATGGTTATTTTATTCAGAATGGTTGCCTTTTAATGACGCTGTCTTGATTTCCTGTTAAACCTGTTTCATCGATAGTCATCCAACATTAATATTTATTTTGTTCATTGAATTTTAAAGTATTCTTAAATTAAAGCTATTGCAAATATTCTACAGCTGCCAATGATAATTCCGCAGAGGCGCTACCATGAAAATATCATAGAAAACATGATCATTGTGTTATAGCTGTCATCTGGCTTAATAACACAATACTCTAAACTATTTTAGGAAATTAAGAACTAGAGCCATCCTAGAATATGTTATAAAATCCACTGCTAAATACAACTCTTTTTTTTTTTTTAACTTCTGTGCTTCTTTATCTTGAATTCTTAACAGTGTAATTAGATTTCACATTGTAATGAAAATTATACTTAAGATTCTTACATTCTTATACTTAAGAATCACCTTGGGTTAAAATCTTTCCCATGTACATATTATTTTTCATATCTTCCTTCAAATCGCCCGCACTTAACCAACACGGGTTGACCTGCAGAGATTTCACAATAAATTCTAGTAAAATAAAGTCATGATGATCTCGAACTTGTACCGTCTCTAATGAAATATATAACTACACTGTCTCTTGTACCTATTTAGGCTTTAAAACTTCGTACTGTAATATGACATTCTACAGAATGCTTCAGTAGAAATGGGCTCAGGACGGCAGCCCACCATTACCATTGCCAGAAAACTGGCATGGTTTTCTCCCTGGAAAATACCAAATCTCAAAATCCAACACATTTACTCATAATTCATTTTCATTTCCTCTTTCCCAGAATTCATTTTCATGTCTAAAAGAAGCTCTTGGCTGAAGCCTTCTACTGTCTGCAACATGTTATAGCTTCTTTGCAATTTCACTTTTAGGAAACACAGTAAGGAAAAGTAATGCACCCTCATGGGCATCCCACGTAAGCCATGATAAATTCATATTCTTGTTTTGCACTGATTTGAATGGGAAGCAAGAAAGAAAAGGAAAGGCCTGTGAGTGCCCTTATAGCTCTCAGGTGACACTTCCCTTTTCAAATGCCTCCATGTACTGGGTCACAGGCAGGAAAACACTCCAGACATACAGACTTGTCATTTTTCTAACCAAAGAGGTTGGGACCATCGTCAACAATACATTCACGCTGATTTTTGAGGTCTGTTTTAATCATCAGACATTTTTTTTTTTTACTTATATACTTTTCTTCCCAAAAAATCCTTTTTCTGAACTAACCTCAGAACCAAAACACGTCTCCGCTTCAGGGTTCCCCAGTCTTAACTGAACAGTAATCAAAACCCAATGCTTCAAACCCCCAAGGGAGTTGCTTCTTCCTTTCTGTGTTCAAAGTGGAACAGGAAAGGAGGGCGAGCTTTTCCCTCCACTGCCTTGCTTGGTGTTTGCCTTTAGAATTCGAAGGTTTGTCCCCATTCCTGCGCACCTGACAGGCTGTGATTTATATGTGAGGAAACAACTCCAAGGTTCTTATTAAGGAGTCAGAAGCTGCTCCCACCCACCTTAGCGGTTTTCTAGGAAACAGACTGGGAAAGGGGGGTGGGGGGAGGGGAAGCAAATTCTGTCTAAAGCTACCCAGGACAAGTAGCACAGGTAAATCCAAAGTAATGGAGGCAAATATTAAAAAGAATATTATTTATCATCTTTTTTATTAATACTCACGGAGAACCTTTGCTTTTTACACAAGTCTACTTTTAGAAGAATGCCTCCTCGGTTATCGTGCCCAATGGAGCTCTGTGCTCCTGGCCAACTTCCAACTTCCCCTTTCTCCACCCCACCCCTCACGACCAAATTACTCTTGTACATGTTCACAGATACCACGAAAATTTTGTAAACAAGATTTAGGTTACTGGATCTTGATTTAATCAACATCCCACTTCAAAACGAAGGGAGGTAGGAGAGAGGGTAGGAAAGGGGAGAAAAACGAAGGGAGAAAAAGCAGGGGAGAGGAGAGGAGGGGAGCTGGTCAGAACTTTCAAGTCTTGCCTTTGCTGAGATGTGTGCGTATTGTGGCTGTTCCTTGAAATTCAATGACTCAAAACATTGACAGCAAGTGCCTGTGTGGTTATTTATACTATATATCTATAATAGAATATGTGGGCTTCCTCAGTTTGGGTCTGGGCTGTTTTTGTTGCAATACACCACAATCCTCCTGTGGGTGTCTCCACAGGGAGTCGGGTCTCCCAGGAAACCCTCTCAGAGCCGGGGCTTCCGGAGCAGGGTCTTGCTGAGGTCTTTGACCTCCTCGGGACTATTGACCCGCTCATAGCCCAGCACCGCCATGGGCTGGTAGCAAAACTCCTCCACCTGTTTGATCTGCTGGAAGGTGAGGGCCGTCCGCCAGGCGTTGGCGGCCTGCGTGGCGTTGCGCGCGGACACCACGAAGGGCTTAGAGGAGGAGCCTGAGCCACTGGTCATGTTGAGGGCAAACTGTTCCATCTCGGGGCTCACCAGCAGCCCCACAAAGTCGTACACCCTCCGTAGGGTCTTGACGGGGTCTCCCACTAAGTCCTCGTACCGCACTACCAGGTAGTGGCCTTGCAGCCAGTCAGGGGGCTGCAGGGCTGTCTGCAGTGTCTTGGCCATGCTGTTGCAGATGACCTCCATAGCGCCAAGAGCGTGGTAGTCCGCCGGGCCGCCCACACCCTCCTTCTTGACGCCCAGCTTGTGGCCAGCGGCCTCCAGGAAGGGCATGCGGTGGGCGCGCGGGTCCCGGCTGCGCACCACCTGAAGGCTCTCACGGATGAGACCGTGGCGCGAGCGGATGCGTGAGCTGGCCACGGCACGCGGATCGCGCACTAGGTGGATGACCTTGAGGTCCAGGGCAGGGTCGCGCAGCAGCGGCGCCAACACGGCCACGTCGAAGACACGCACACCCTTGATGACCAGCGTGCGGTACTTGCGGCACTCCTCCTCAAAGCGCGCCAGGCGCTGCGGCGGGCACTTCTTGCACACGCGATCGTCCACCAGCCCCACGACCTCCTTGCGGTAGGCGGGGCAGAGTGGCGAGGAGCACACCACCTTGTTGGTGGCTGCACCGAAAATGCCCAGCGTGGTGAGGTTGCGCCCCCCGCTGCCCGCGGGGCTGTACAGCTGGAAGACCGAGAGGTCACAGCGATAGAGAGCGCTCAGCATGTCCCGCGCAGCCCCTTGCAGGGAAACAGCGTCCCCTGGGTACAGTTTTTGCCACACGTGCCACACTGGCTCGTAGAGAAAGAACACCTCGGGGTTCTGGTTGAAGAGCTCACCGAAGAAAGATGAGCCCGAGCGCCACGTGGTGAACACATACACCAACTGCCTCTTCTCTCCGCCACGCCCGGTGCCCCGAGTGCCATTACGGGGAGGGGCCACCGCCCCCGCTGCCCCTGCTGCTGCAGCGGGGGCCGCCCCGACGGCGGCGGCGGCGGGAGGGCGGTACGGAGTACGGGGGTCCAAGCGGGTGTGTGAGCGGGGCGGCACTGCCGGAGGAGGCCCTGGGCGCCCCCAGCCGCCCCCAGCCGCCCCCGCCGCGGCACCCAGCGGCCCGTCGGGGCTGCACTGCTGCAGCGGCTCCTTGTGCCACTTGTAGTCCAGGAGGTTGAGCATGGTGAGCACCAGCAGCAGCGCATAGCCCGCGCACAGCACCAGCGCCTTCCTGCGGAACACCTTCATTCCGAGCGGCGACGCGGGCCAGCGACGGCCCGGGCGCCGGGGCCACGGCGGGAGCAGGGCGCGCGGCGCGGCGGCGGGCGCGGCCTGGAGCAACCGGGGGGGCGCGCCCGGGGGCAGGGCTCGCGGCGGGCTGCGGCTCATCACAGGCACAGCCGGGGCCCGCGGCGCGGCGGAGGCGGCCCTGCAGCCCAGGAGGGGGACGCAGCGGGCCGACTTCGGGCGCGGGGACTGGGGCCGCGGCTCCGAGGCAGGCGCGGCAGCAGCGGCGGCTGGTCCCCGACGCCCAAGGCTGGCTCTCCCATGGCAGCGGCTCCGAGAAAGACCTGCGAGGGGAAGCGGAGTAAGCCGATGCGCCCCAATCCTCCTCCCCATCCGCCTCTTCCACCTAAGTAACGCCCACCCTCGGGTCAGCCGGGCTCCCCCGCTCACCTGGAGCCGCGGGCGCACCCCGGAGCCGCCCGGGATCACGGCTGGGTGGTCTGTCCTGCTGTCACTCGTTCCTCGATTTCTCGCTCACAGTCCTTCCTGGGAGTCCCCGCGCCTAAGAGGCGGCCGCGGGACTCGGCAGCCCAAGCCCTGGGCAGTTTCCGGGCGGCGGGCGCCCTGCGGCTTTGGAAGGGAAACTTTCACCGGGCCTGGAACCCTGCTCCGCGCTCCGTTGAGCCCAGCGTGCCCAGCTCCAGCGGCGTCTCCGCCGCCCTCTCGAGACCGCAGCTTCCTTCCTCGCTCCGGGGGGCGAAGCCGGCTGGGGGAGGGGGCTTATACAGGACCCAGCTCCCGGCAAAGCGGCTCCGCCTTTCTCGCTCTCGGCCTCCGCGCCCGGAATCTTCCCATCTCTCTGGCGGCGGTGGATGGGGCGCAGCGCGACCCTGCAGCGACAGCAGCTGCTTCTTCCATCACTCGGAGGATGCCCGGGCCGGCATAGCCGGCAGCGCCCGCCGCTCCGCAGCCTCCGACTGGCCCGGGAGGAATACTACACACACAACAATCGGCCAAGGAGCCCGAGTCTGCAGCGCTCCCTTGCCGCCGCCCCCCCCCGCCCCCCGGCACCAGCCGCTTCTGGCCAACGAGGTATCGGGGCAGAGGAAGCCCCCGCCGCTGCCGCCGCCGCGCGAAAGCGGCGCCCGAGAGGATGCTGCTACCCGACTCCCCCTACGCGGAGCGGCTGCAACGCGCTCGGGCCAGCCTCTGCGCGGCTCCTGCCAGCCTGCGCCGGGTTGGTGCGCGCCGCCGTCTGTCGCTGCGGCTCCTCCCCTTCGCCGCGCTGCCCTCCTCCTCCGCCCGTCCCGTGCCCGCCCCCCTCGCAGAGTCGGGCTCCAGCCGCCGCCGCCTCGGGGGTGGAGATGCGGGGCTCGATTCACCGCGACGCCGCTCGGGCTGCCATCCACACGACCGAGGCCGTAGCAATACGTGCGCAAAGCTCCTGGACGCGGACGCGGGGTTCGGAGAGATCGGGCGCCCGGGGCTCTGAGAAACTTGGGAGTTTCCTTGCGGCTCCCGGGCTCAGCCGCACGTTTTTGCTCTCGGAAGGAGTTGGTGATAAAGTTTGGGCAGAAATCCCCCAGCGGCCGCCCACTCCTCTCTTCCCTCCGGCATGGACACCGCCCGCCCCTCCGGGAACCGAGGACGCACCCGCATCCGGGTGCGCTCGGAGGACGCCGAGCGCCGCTTGCAGGCTTTCTACTCCCGGCTCACGCGTTCCAGCTGGTCTGGAGCTTCTCCCTCACCGAGGAAGTAATAAATCTTTCTGACCCTGGGGTCAAAGAAAACTCATCAGTTTTAGGGAGGAGTGTGCAGGCGGGGCGCCTCGCACCCCCCCCCCCCGTTTACTCCACCTACGGATAGGGCAGCTTGGGTTTCACTACGCCCGCCGCAGATGCTCTTCCAGTCCCCGCTCGTAGTGACGCGTCCGCTGTGAGCGAGTGCTCGGGAACTGGGGTGGTGGGGGGTCGGGGAGTGACTCTATGTTGTTCTGCTATACAATAAAATACTTGTCTCGCTTCTTGCTTTTTTACAAATGAGTTTAAATCATTTGGCTAAAGGAAACACGGTCGTTGGAAGTAAAAAAAACTCATTTTGAGTTGGTTTAAGTTAAAGTTCTTTTTTAAAAGATGAAAAATCGCTCGCTCGCTCGCGCTTCCTCTCTCGCTCTCAAGAGAATCAAAGGCGACTAATACCCTCAATTGCATCAGTAAAATGGGGCACTTATAATAGCATTCAGTAATTCAACGGTGATTGGGTGTTAGATGCCCAGATGATTTAACCCCCTGGAGGCCTTGCGTAAGTTGCGGCGAATCACTAGGGGTCTTGAAGCTCGCGGGCTGCGGATAAACAGAGCGCTCATCTCCTGGAGGCGTGTCTGTTGCCTCCTGCCCCATGAAGTTTTTGGAAGTTTGACAAAGTTACTACAAAAGTATATTTGTATTATTTTGGGTGCCTTTTCTTAGCCAGAGGATCCTAAATTTAAAATGTTGCTGTTTGAGCTATTATTCCTCTCTGAGTTTTATAGAATTTTATGAATGCAAGGGCTTTTAGAAAGTGACTTAACTCACGCGGGTTTTCAGGATAGAAAAATATTCAAAGAACTTGACTTAACCCCGTTTTCAAGAAAAGAAATCCATAACGCCCGGAGTCAGTTCAGATAATTATTCCCCCTGTGGTTCTGATAAAGTATAAGGACAGGTATATCTAGAACAGGTTTTATGCAAATGGGAGGAGGCAGGTAGAGTTTAGGTGGGGCTTTCTCAAGTAGCAAGAGCATCACCTCTCTGAGCAGGTCAGGACAGACGTCTTCAATCCCTGTTTACAGAGGAAGGTGGTAGAATTTAATTGAGTGACTTCCATCTCTCCATTTCTGGACCCACCCACCTCCCTTCCCCTGCTGTCTCAAAAGTCCCTGTCCCTTCTTCCCTCTTCTCTTTCCCCGCCCCAAACAAAAAATAAGTGATACTGGCTCATTAAAAGAGTGATGGAAGAGGAGGAGTTGTGGAAGAGAGAAAAACCTCAATCTTAGTATTCAGCATGATTCCAAGGAAAATAATTTCTAATACTTTTAATTTAGTCTCTGGCTTTGTGGTTACTCAGAAAGCACCATGAATTGCAGTTACTTGATGTAAGACCCTTTCTTAAACAATTATTTGCATAGAAACAATTTTGTTGCAATTTCCTAACACTTTACTAGAGTTGGCAAAATAGTAAATCCATTTGCCATATGCCCCCACAGTGAGTGCTCAGCTGTGAGTGCTCAGCTGGCATAAATTTACAGCTTCCGGCCTCTCCACCCTCTCCTTGCTTGCAAATATTTTACCATTTTGCATGGTGTCATGATTAATTCCCAACTTTGTTACAACTAATGACATCCAAAGACTTGATAATGTCTTCCTTCCCACATCTGTTCAGAAATTCTTTTCATTTTAATCCATTTATCCTTTTTGCATAGTAATGACCCAGACATATAATAAGTCACATAATAATTTCACTGGCAGGGGAGCCAGTCATGCCACTAGGCTGTCCTTACTTAATTCAGCTGGTTGTTTAGTTCGTTGCAATTCAGAGTCTTTTCCAGGAATGCTCCTTCAGTCTCTTCTTTGATGCCTGTGATGTGGAAAGGAACTGCCATTGGAAACTTGCTGTGACCTTTGCCTAATCCTGGACAAATAGGGGCCTAACATCCAGGGGTGCTGTGGGCCCAGTACCCAGCCTGTGGAATAGGGCAGAGAAATCTTCCAAGACCTTCCTCCATAATCAGGATTAGGAAAAAATGTAAGGCAGCGTTATCTGGACAGTTTCCAGCCAAGCCTGTCAGCGTCACTGGGGGCCTGCAAGATTCATCTTTGGGAAATATCTGCCCCTGGCAAGATAGATTGACTCACTCAGATTTTCAACAAATATGCATTTTCAATGAAACTTAAGCACACAGAATTGGATTAATCATAATCCTTGATTGAAAACATACTGTCATTAGCCCAAGGGTGGCCCTTTTCTATTTTATATGACTTTAAATAACATAATGAATACTCATGAGCCCTTTACAGAGCCCAAAACCTCCAGAGATAACCACTCTACTTAATTTAGTTTAAAAATTTTAATGAAATGTTTAAGTTCAAAAAAAAAAAACTTGCCTTAAATTGTCAAAAAAAGAAATAGCCTGAATAGTCTTATGATTATTAAGGAAATGAAGCAGTCATTTAAAATCTTTCCATAAGAAAAACAACAGGCCCAGAGGGCTTTATCAGATTTTCTACCAGACTTTCAAGAGCTAAATAATTTCTATCCTACTCAAACTCTTCCAGAGAACAGAAAAAGAGTGAATAATTCCCTCCAACTCATTCTAAGGGGAAAATAACTAGAAGGGGTTTTCAGAGGAGGCAATAGGTCTTTTTCATTGATTAGTATACACATCAAACTCCTAAATAAAATACTAGCAGAGCAAATCTAAGTGAGTGTGGGAAAAAAAGACAAGACTGGCAAACAAAGTCTTGGAATTTCTTCCTGCAGTTTTTCCTTCCCGACCTTAGGGACAAGCTAACTGGACAAGGAGAGGTTTTCCTGCCACAGCAAGTGACACCACCTCCTCGAGTCCACCAGCCATTTCTCTGCTACCTGTATGGGGCATCCTCCTGGGTTCTGCCTGACTCCCATCCAATCTCCCTTCCTTTGGGAACAGTGTCTGAATCACCCCACCCCATTGAGTGTGGCTTTGATGAGAACTTCGGCCAAAGTACTCCTCTTCACCCCCCCCCACCCAAACTCAGCAAGTTAAATGTTCTGTCCATGAAAGTTTCACTCATTCATTCATTCTTTTCTTTTTAAAGATTTTATTTATTTATGAGAGAGAGAGAGAGCATGAGCAGGGGGGGAGGGGCAGAGGGAGAAACAGACTCCCCACTGAGCAGGAAGCCTGACGTGGGGCTTGATCCCAGGACCCCAGGACTATGACCTGAGCCGAAGGCAGACGCTTAACAGACTGAGCCACCCAGGCACCCCCATTCATTCATTCCTTATGTATTGAACTCCTACTATGTGCCAGACAATCCAAGTCTTCATCAGGGAGACCGAAAAATAGAAAACAGTTGCAGCCCCCTCATCCCAACAGTGAAGCCTAGAGAGATGCTCCATTACCCTTTCAGAGGGCCCTTTCTTTAAGCCTATGAACTTGGAGGGGTTTTTTTAGATCCTGTGAGTTACTCCAAATGCATCCACAAATTCTCCCTCCTCCCCATGAAGTCTGTCAGAGTCTGTTTTGTTACTGACAACCAAAAATTCCTAATTGACGTGGTGGCTTACTGCCTAATTACAGATTTGGTTTCATTCATGCTTTGTCTTTGTGCCTTATTCTCCACCTGCCCTTAAAGCAGTGCTTTTGCTTTTGAGTTTCCACCTTTAAAATCTAGGATCTAGCCAGGCAGTGATCATAAGGAGCTCCAGCCCAGCCCCCACATTGGCATCAGTGACCTCACCCCTCACACCTTTCCCTGACCTTGTTTATCACCGACACTGGCTGGGCTGCTCACTTGTAAACTCTGGCCCCCTCAGCCACACAGCCAGGACTGCTCTTACACTAATTGGTATAAATTTTCAGTTAGATTTACTCTCAGAAACCACATCTAATCATCAGTATTTCCTGAACTTTGATCCTAAGGATCTGCTGGGCTCTTTTATTATTATTTAATTATTGCCCCCTATTGAAAGAAAGAAATAAAGAATGAAAGAAAGAGATGGTAGGGATATGAGATGGCCCACAAAGATAAATACAAGAAAATTGATCAAAGGGAAAATAACATGAAGCCAAGGGTGCTTCCATGAGGTCCTATTCGATTGCTAGAGGTGAGCCAAAAAATAAAATTAGCTCTGAGCTTCCTAGTAGCCAGAGTAAAGAAGGAAAGTTGCTCAGGAGCTCAACGGCTTTACCTGACACAGAAAACTAAGAAAAAATTTCATCTGCCTTCTCTTGTAAGCTTCATTCATGTGTTTTCTTTGTTCACTACTCTTTTCCTCATAGTAGCATAGTATCTGGCATGTAAGTGCTCAATAAATATTTATTGGCTGACTTACTGTGGGTCCTTATAAAAGAATTATGCAGTATAGAAAGTGGACTAAGTCCTTAAATGTGTCTCAATAATCTACAATTTAAAAAAAA